GAATCGCAAACTGTTTAAGCTGTGGCCAAGTTGTGGCATCTGGTAAAGAGGAAAAACCTAGACATTCTTGATCAGAACCGCTTTTTATTTATGTGAGGTTTCAGTTCTCAGTAACTGCATAAAAGTCTAGTGTTTGATATAATAAAAGACGGTGTGGGGATGGAAATTGGAGGGGATTCCTACAGGAGAAGTGTTTATCATCTGCTTTTGCCATTGCAAATGACATATTAAATATCTGTGGCACATTAACAAGCAGAACAAAATAAGGACTTAAAGCACCTGTTAGTGCATCTGTGCTGTAGCTCGAGCTGTCAGTGAAAATATATCAATGCAAGCTGTTCTGCCACTGTAGACAGTTTACCACTTCCTTACATATGTTTTTCAGCATTTATATAAAGTACCCGGAATGAGTATGGAATATAAAGGAAAGATTTGCTTAGGGCTCAGACTGAACTTCTAAACTTGACTTCTGTGCTCAGTCATAGGGCCTTAAACTATCCATTTGAAAGGGAGTCTCAGAAGGAGAGAAATGTGAAGATGATTATTTATAGTAACAAAAACATAGAAATAAGCTAAAGCCCAATAATATTTTATTAAATATGAGGTGTGATCAAAAACTATGGTGTTTAAATTTAAAAAATTATTACAGTAAAAGACACAGTGTCACTCACTAATCCCCCCATAATATTCTCCCTTGCTTCAAACACACTTATCCCATCATTCTTGTCACTTTCAGAAGCAGTTCTGGAAGTCCTCTTTCATGAATGTCTTTACTTCAGCCTCCATCGTGACAATGCTGTGTGTCACACATCGCTATTTTCTTGTCCAATAATAACATTACGGTGTGTCCTCAACCACCTTATTCACTGGATCTGGCACCACAAGACTTCTGGCTCTTCCCCAAAGTCAAAATNGGGAAGAGCGCAATGATGGTGCCAACTTGGGCCAGTGAAGCAACGTCCTGCACAACTAGACTGAAGAACAAAACGACAGCAACTTGTCTGTTCCCCTTCCCCCAATTCCCCAGAGCTGTTCCCCTCCCCCAATTCCCCAATAAAAATCTTAAAAAAAAAAAAAGGCAATTCCAAAAAGGTATAAGCTACCTTTCCCCAGACTTTCCTGTGCTCATTTTGGGTGGAGATTTGCATTGATGTGTTAACCATGAGAACATGGAGCTCAGATATAGAATCAATGATGCTCCTTCCCTGACTCCCCAGGGCCAGAAGAATGGATGAAAGTGCGGGAATCATGGAAAGAAGAAATCCCACTTTCCATTGACAGCAAAGCACAGAGGAGGAAAGAACAGATTCTCCCTCTAATGGCCAACTCTTCAGATCTGAAAAAGAAATTGGGGGCAGGGAGCTGTTCAAGTACCTTAATGAGAAGATCAGGTAGTCGTCCTAGTTTAGTTAGAGGGCTGGTAGAGAAATTGATTGAAGCCACAGGAGCCAGGGCAAAAAACATCTTAATCTTTTTGGCCAGCTCCGGGTTCCGTGAAAACGCTATAAAACCTATGGGAATAAGAGGAAGGTAGGTAACAGGAATTCCATCTTCTGGGACTTTCTCTAAGAAGGCAAGGCGGTAATGAGTGACGCCCTCTAGTGGCAACCTGAGAAACATGCAAGCAAACACCTGAATTGGGTTCCTCTGAAATTCCACGTGAGGATATCCTGAGTTTAACTAAACTAGTAAATCAAGTATTTCTTAAGTGCTTGTTTCAATTTTCAACCTAGATATGCACTGGAAGAAACCTAACTTGCTAATAACGTAAATCGAGCTCAGAAAAGACTATTCCTAACAGCTCAGCCTCACCAGCCCCATCCTCCAGTGCCCCTCCCCTTATCCCTAAGAACAATTTAGAGCCATCCGAATCAATCACCACCGGCTGAAAATGGACTTACACATTTAGAGTGCCCTAGCACTAAACTAGCTCTTATCTTCCTCTCAGGTCACTTCTAGCCTTAAACTCGGCCCCAGAATGTCACTTCAGAAAGCAGTATGGCAGAAGATATTAAGTAGACAAATTATGGAAGAAGGAATATAAATAAAGAAAAATGCTTAACTCAATGACTAAAATAGGCAAATGTTATTTTTTGTTTGTGGCCTCTCAAACTGGCAAAGAGTGTTTGGCGGTACTGAGGGTGAGGCAATTTAACCATAGACACTTAAAAGCATTCATACATTTCATATCGTAATTCTTCTAGGAATGTATTCTAAGGAGATTGTGTCACCTGAACACAAAAATATTAACCCCAGTAAACACTAAAAGGGGGAATTATATAAATTATGGGGCAGGTTCCTAGTCCCTATGCAGAAGAACTCTTGTTTGCTAGAATTATGGGCAATTTTTGTTTTCTTTAAACTTTGCTAAATTTTCTATTTTTGTTTACAATGAACATACATTACCTTTTTAGTCAGCATAAACAAGAAATGCATATGACTTTTAGAAACTATTTATACACGGCATCTTAGTAGTTAGTTCCATTCCACTTAATTTTAAAAGTTGGTATCCTTTCTTGTTTTGTTTTTTTTAAGTCTCTGCCCTTATAAAACCTTCTCACATCCCCATATTACTTAACTAGAAAAATACGTAATAGGCTGTGGCTTACACTAATTCCTTTAAATTCAAGAGCACCACACAACATGTTTATCCTTTTATAGAGAAGGATGAAATATTACCAAAATTCCTTGCCCTTGCCCTAATCATTATTTCTGCTTGGCATTTAAAAAATAATAAATAAAATTTGAGCTAACTTTTTTTTATATATATTTCACGTTTCAGAGCAAATACAAACTCTGTAATAACACATTATATCAACTTTCAATCTTCTTTACATACATACCTATCGTAGTGCCTTGAGAATGACCCACATAGTACACTTGTTCTTGGCCAGTTTTATTCAAAATGAAGTTAATTGAAGCTGGTAAGTCATAGTTTGCCATCTCATCATAACTGTAATCCAAAAATAGAACTCTTTCATTAAGATGTTGCATACAAATACAACAGCTCACAAATAATAAGTGTGTGGTTTGATGACTAATCAAAAACTGAACGCCCCTGGCTAAACCAGGATGAGTGCATAAAACAGAATATTACCAGGACTGCAGAAGCCTCCTGGGCTCCCTTCCAATCCTGCCTCCCAAGGGTAACCGTTATCCTCATTTTTACACCACAAATTAGTTTTACCCATGTTTGAACTTGTCTATAAATGGGATCAAACAGTATGCGTTCTTCTGTGTTGGGCTATATCCACAGTGTCTCACATAGTTGTAGGCTGTTCATTGTGTAAATATAAACACACTTAATTTGTCTATTCATTGCTGTTGGGCATTTATTATATAGTAGTTTCCAATTTTTCGCTATTACAAATAATGTCACAATAAATAAATATATTCTTGTACATATCATTGGTAAAAGCTCTCATCCTTGCATTTCATGTCCTTAGGTAGGGTCTGGTTTTACAAACGGGAATCAGGTCTGGAGGGTCCATAGCTTGGTCTTCTCTATACCTTGCACCAAGACAGGACCTGGAGCCACGCACATATGTGCATCTGTCATTGGGAGATGGGTGACCCAGTTGTTACCACCACTTCTGATGTGTCATGTTTTTTCCCTATATCCTCTCCTTTAATTCCCCAATAACCTTTAAAGATAGGTATTTATTATCCTCATTTTACATAAAGAAAACTGAGACACAGAGGGCTTACGTGACACATCCAAGGTCACACAGTGATTAATTGGTAGAGCCAGAAATAAGAGGAAAATTTCTGGATATAGAATAATGAACATTTGCAATGTGTGTTTATGGAGGAAGAAAGGTTATGGGACACAATTTACCCAGCATCCCACACTACCAGGAATGCCAAAATAACTAAAAATTCCTAATTGAATCTAATTCCTACATGTAATCATTTACTTACAATTTACCTTGCTGCTATTTATTAAATCCCTAAAAAGGTTTAAAACCTTTCATGAAGGGGATAAAATATATGGTGATGGAAAGAGAACTGACTCTGGGTGGTGAACACGCAATGTGATATACAGATAATGTATTACAGAATTGTACACCTGAAATCTATATAACTTTGTAACAATTGTCAGCCCAATAAACGTTAACTTAACAAACAAACAAACAAAAACCTTTCATGACTCATCAGTTTCCCCTCTCATATGATCTTGAGTTATCCTTCTATCTGCCTTGCCATGTTTCTGTATTAAGGGTACTCACAGACCGCTGTCATAATCAATTCAAATATACCTGAAGGCCCAGTATTCATCCTGAAAAACAGAAAAGGTCTTGTGCTTCCGAGACCAGGTGTTTCCCCTGCTGTTCCCCATCCACACATCGAAACCCGCATCTGCCAGGATGAAGCCCAGGCTGCTGTTGGGCAGGTTTGTGACCCAGTTACTGGAATCTGCCAGCAGGCCATGCTGCAGGAACACCACTGGTCTGCGACCTGAGAAACATCCATGTTTAGGAGTTAGCAGCACCTAACTTCAAAACAAACATGATATTGTGCTATACAGATAACATAAGCAAATAATGAGACAGAAACTCAAATGAAAATATTGAGGTAGCAATGCACTCCTATATAACACTAGTAAAGAATGCTTTTTAATCATTTATTCCTTTTTTCTTTTTTTAAGATTTTTATTAAAATATAGCTACCTACAATAGTATATTAGTTTCAGGTGTACACCATAGTTATTCAACATTTCTATACCTGAAGAAGTGATCACCATGATAAGTCCAGCAACCATCTGACACCATACTATGCAATCACAATAATATTGACTATATTCCCTATACTGTACATTACATCCCCATGACTACTGTGTAACAACCAATTTGTACTGCTTAATCCCTCCCCCTTTTTTACCCACACTCCCAACCCCCCTCCCATCTAGCAACCATCAAAATGTTCTCTGTATCTATGCATTTGTTTCTGTTTTGTTTATTTTGTTATTTAAATTCCACATATAAGTCGAACCACATTGCATCAGTCTGACATACTCCACTCGGCACAATACCCTCTAGGTCCATCCATGCCACTGCAGATGGCAAGAACCCATTCCCTTCCCTGGCCAAGCAGTATTCTATTGCATATACGTACCACCTCCTACTCTTATCCATTCATTCATCAACAGACATTCAGGTTACCTCCGCATTTTGGCCATTGTAAATAATGCTGCAATGAACATATGGATGCACACAGCCCCTCAAAGTAGCATTTTGGGCTTCAGATAAATATCCTGAAGTGGGATTATTGAGTCCTTCTTTGTCTCTTTGTTTTAAAGTTTATTTTGTCTGGTATAAGTATTGCTACACCAGCTTTTTGTTGTTGTCATTTCCATATTCATAAAATATCTTTTCCATCCCTTTACTTTCAGTCTGTATGTGTCTTTCTATCAGAAGTGAGTCTCTTGAAGGCATACATAAGAGTCTTGTTTTCTTATCATTCAGCCTAAAGAAATTTTTTTTTAAAACAGTGCTGGCAAGGTAGTAGTAAAACTGGATGATTTTTGCATATCTAGTAACAAGACACTTTTTAAAATATATTTTTAAGAACTTATGAAATGTTTCTGCACTTTGCTCCAGTAATTGGATTTCTTAGACTGTATCCTAACAAAATAAACCAAAAGAAAAGCCAAAAGATCACACATAAATTCATAAATATATATATATATATATATATATACACACATATTTGTTCATATATACATACACATATTTTTACATATATATGCAAATTTATCTTCTACTCAACTGTACCTAAGCCAGTGATATAAGTGAAAAAAACAAAGACTTGGGAACCAAAGAAATCTGACTTCCAGCTGTTTACATCATGTTAATATTATTCAGTCATTCATTAAACAAGCATTTACTGAGTGCTCAACTATATGCCAGCATACCGACTACATGCTGGGGACACAGCAGAGAACAAAAACAGCAGAAGAAAAAAATCACCCTCATGGAGCTGACATTATACGGACCATTAGTTTTCGAGTCAGACAAACCTGGGTTTAAATCTGTCTTCAAGTTTTGACGTGCCACTTTGGGCATGAAATTTCAATATCACCTGAAATTGACAGCATCCCCTGAAGCATGAAAGGCAATATGTATTGGGTCATTGGGAAAGTCATGACACATTTTTGCGTTGAAAAACATAGAAAAATACGTAATGACTTTCCCAACAACCCAATAGCTTATGGAGAGTAATGATATATGAAGATATTAGATGAAATAGCTCTTAGCAAAGGTTCTGACACACAGTAGGAGTTCAATAAACATTAGCTCATATTATTAAGTTGCTTAACCAGTCTGAGTCTCAGTTCCATAAATAATTGTTGAGAGGAATAAATGAGGTAATTATCTGGCATAGTGACTAACACATAGGTCAAAATTAACAAATTAGAGCTTCCTTTGCCTTCTTCCCATTCTTCATAATAGTGAAACACTAGAAAGAAGCTACTTGTTGAGAGGTCAAATCACTAATTGCATCCACTTGATGGAATAAATAAGCCACCAACAATGATGAGGATTGAGTTAGCACAAAAAAGCTTCTACTGTAGCCTTGAAGGGGAAAAAATAGAACAAATTACAAAATTATAGACTCCCTGGAATATGGCTGTGTAGCATTGATGTACACAAATGAGGAGTGTAAAATATCAAATCAAGGACAAATGAAAAGAATGATGCATCGGATAGTCAGGTGGGATGTGAATGTCCTAACATGGATTTGGTAACCAATAAATTGCCTTTTTTTTTTTAGCTGAGCCATCCTGCCACCTGTTGGCAGCTTAGCGGCAGCTCAGCTCGGGCCGGGCATCAAACTGCTGTTGCTCAGAGCTCAAATTCTTGAGCGAGCTCTTAACTAACTGAGCCACTCGGCCGGCCCAATAAATTGCTTTTTAATGACTGTCCCTCTGATGCAAGGTGGCCCAATTACATACATACCTGACATGAATGGTACCCCCGGGAGGTATGTAATGTGGGGTGCTGGTACTCTCATTTGTAAAACCAATGGGACTCCCCCCAGCAAAGGTCCCAAATGGCTATGATTTTCAAATCCCAAAGTGGCAGCCCTCTCCCAGGGCCATGTAAGTGACCTTCTGCTAGCGGAAGGAGAAGAGAAAGCAAAGAGGCCAAGATCGGAGCAGCTTTCCACGCACTTCTTTGCCTTTGAATGTTCGTATTAATGCTCCCTTCCCACGTCTACATTGACTGTGAAAGCTCTACATGTAACTCACTACGGTATAGCTACAGCATCTGATGACTAGGCGCCCTGCCTTCCACGAAGATGGAGAAACCAGTCGGAGAAATCAGGATGGTAAAAATTTCAAAATTATAAACTTCAGTGTAAGTGACAATAATAATTGCTGAAAGGAATTCATTTTTAAATTGTAGTCGATGAAATGTGTTTTAAATGACAGTCCCTCCTAACCAGGGCTGCCTTGTTGGACAATGGCAGGAGGCATCGCAACCCACAGCCCTGTGTGAAGGGCACCCAGGAGCTGTGCGACGGAGCTAACATCTCCCTTCGGCATGGTAAGACAGTTTTCACCCATCCAAGGTGCTTTGGGGCTGGGACACGAGGAAGAAGATATGACCTTAAAATACCAGAAAATCAGAGTGACCAAAGAAAGATTTGGGCAGCATACGGGGACCACTGGGGCAGCCTTGTTCCAAGAGGCGCCCCTACTGGTCAGCGGCAACAGAGCCGCGTCTGCCTCTGCAGTGGTCTCCCCTAGGGAAAGGGAGCTAGAGGGCCCCTCCCCCACCCCCCGGAAATCACGGCAGGTGGCCACAGGCCCTGCTGCGTGCTCCAGTCTGTGCTTCTTCAGGCACTTAGCGGGAAAGCTGAGGCTGCTGAGGGGGCTTCTCAGGGCACAGTACTGAGAAAGGCAGAGATGGCTTAAATGGGGACGGAGAACTGAGGAGGGGAGGGGAGGCTAAGGAGCGGGGCAACCGGGACTGAGGCTGGAAGCAGAGGCGTCAGTCAGCTCCCTGCCTTTTCTTGATGGGGACTGTTTTAAATTCCCTTGCAATCTCTCTGTACTGCCCTCCATAGCCCTCCAGGAGTTTCAAAGGGGACATCTGGGAGATGGCAAGCTGAAGATACAGCAGGAAAACCTTTAAACACCACCATAACATAACTCCCGGATTCCCATGGGCAGTGAGGAACTGCTGACGCTTTCCTGGGAGATGCAGGTGAGTCACCACGCATCTGCCATTTATGGCGGTTCAGGGGCTTCTCACAACATCTATAAAGACCCCTGTTTCAGCCCATACCTACCATTCACTCCGGCACAAGGGTTATTTCAGGGAGTGACTCTATCCTTCTAAGTGACTTCTCTCACTCGACTCTCCATAGAAGCGTTTCCCAAAGCTTCTATATTTGCCCCATACATCAAATTTCTGTGGATTTGCTTTGCCTGAAACAACAGCTAGTGTGATCCAGGTTATAAACAGTCTATGTTTAACAGAAAAAGAAGCAAAGAAATAACAGTTTAGTTACGTTGGAATTTGAATAAATTAGCATTGAGGGGTCGTCTATAGGTACTCCTTACCTCTAACTCTATGCCACAGTTGGGCAGCTACAAAATCAAAGTGACTGTGCAGAGAGAGAAAGAGAACACAGCTACATACATGTACACATGCTCACACACAAAAACAGACCCCGTGTGGACCCCAGAGTGACAGCAAAGCCACCCAGCATGTGTGAAGGGAAGGGATGGTAGACAAAACTCAATGATTTGTTAAGACACTTGTAATAAGGAAAGGGAGAGGATAGAAGCCATTGTCTTTCTAATTCTCCTTTTTGTTTGTAGGGGTTCCATCATCCCTCACTTCAAGCTGAATACAAAAGCTTAATGACCAACAGATGCAAAAGATGGCACCAAGCAGGAAGGAAATAGTGAATCTGCTCTTTAAAAGCTAGATATGTTCAAATCTGAAGGACCTGGGCCAAGAACCGCGGAGGGTATCACAGACCCCATTGCTTTCTCATGGGGAATGCCAGCAGGCAAAGAAAGGGGCGGACATAGAAAGGTAAACGGCTGACAAACGGCATGGCGTGAGAGCAACTTGGGCCAGTCAGCTGTGTCTAGTCATTCATCAGAAGAATTATTACTGAGAGCCTGTTGTATACTAAGCAGAGCACTAAAAGTTAAAAAAAATCAAGAAGTAATTCAAAACACACATTACATTCTGTGTAAATCTTTCCTGGTACCCAGCACATATTAGCCATTATGCTATGTGCAGGCAACGCAATGTGGGTAACCCATGTTCTCTCCTCCAAGGAGCTCCATTCCAGTCAAGGAGACAGACACACAATTACCTTCCAGATCAGTGTGGAAAAGGCCAGCCCACCACCCAGGAACGCTCAGAGGAAAGACAGTTACTCAGCCAGGGGCAGGCATATTTGAGCCGAATATTAAGTGAGAGATAGGTTGC